ACTGATTTTGCCTCCTCACTTTCTTTAKTGGAAAAAGAAAATCCCTCTTGATGACTGATTCATGTATTGTGTAAAGAAAGTTGTGTTGCTTTTTCTTAATGTTTGTAAATGAAATAATAAATCAGATTAGTGAACAAGTGGGTCTATGCATAGTTGCAATATTCTACCTAATCACTGTGACAGAATCATTTGTCTGGAAAGTTAGGAGAAAATAAGAATTATTTTCCCAAGTCACTTGCCAAGAGAGGATTAMATTTCCAGGAGAGGTGTGGATTTTTTCATACTACATGTACATAAAAGAATAATAATTAAACCCATATCCCATATTTTCAAATAAGCTATAGAAAAGTGAAAAATACCATTTTTAATCAATTACTATCCAATAAGAATACTAAGGATACTGTGGAAGTAATAAGTTTGTACATGAGAATGTGAAGTATGTTTGTCCATTATGATTTCATAAAGAAGGGACTTCAGGGTAGCTCTTTAGAGAGTAGTTTAAARGTATTACAGCTCAGAATGTGAGATTTTTCTGTGTTATAGGAGATTGAAAGAACTTGGAGCATTGACTTGATGGGTTTAATGTGTGTGCAAAAATGTTGTGTTTAAATGCATATACAAGGCTAAGTGTTTATTTGGAGGAGAAGGGGACAGGAAATTACCATGTTTTGGGCTATCCAAATCAAGTGGAAAAATAGAGGAGATGGGTCTTTTGTGGTATGTGGTGAGAGCACAGTTTTCTTCTTGTCATTTGCACAGAGGGTTTGCATAAGTGTTTGAAAACATCCTACTGTGGGTTAGGCACAAGGACTGAATTAACACTTTTAGTAGTTTAATATTCAAGAATACAGAATACAGTGTGTCAATTTAAGTCAAATGTAATGTTGCAATAATAGTTTATAATGAAGACTTTTGACATTTGAATACCATCATTTCAGTACATCGCAAGCACTGGTGATCTTCACAAACATCTGGGATAGGTTTAACTGTGGACAGTTCATGGGCTCTCAAACTCAAGGCTAGTTTGTGCTCAACAGCACAGAATGAGGAGAGAACAGGTCAGCTGTGAGCTGCTTCATGCCCCAGGTAGAATGGCAACATCCATGGCCTTTGGATCTTAKATATCTGGTCCTTGGGGATGGGAGGAATACACCACGGCATACTTGGTATCCTTGCCAGGCGCCTTCTGGAAAGACCTCCATAGGTGTGAAGGTCTGCACTTTGCCTTTCTGTAAAACCAGCTTTAAATAAAAGATAAGAGCTGTGTGAGCATTAGCTGGTATGTTGTTTCTTTTGGTTTTAACTTACTAGCTTAAAAAGTAGACAGTAATGTTTTAAAAACAGAAAATAATTTTTCTGATCAGCTGTTTAGGTCAGTTGAATTGCAGCCTGTTATGCAGTGCACTGTGAATTGATGACTTGCATAATTCTTTGATTTCTTCAAGTCAGTAAATCTTAGGATCCCATTTTGTTTTTCAGATAGTATTGGTGAWATAAGATTCTCCTTTGGTTTTGATCAAAGATTTGTTTAAGAGTAAAAAGTAAAGTTTTGAGATGAAAGAATATCAACGAGGAATTYAGAACCAACAGGTCTTAAGTGACATTGGTTTCATAGCACTACATTTGTCAAGATCTTCTTTGTGATATCTTCTTGTTTTCAATTTTTGGAACAAATGTAATAATATTTATCAAAGTTTAAGATATGTYTACCTTTGGGGATGAGTAAGTAGGAGTGTAAGTATATATATCTAAAAGAAACTGAAAACTGACCTACTTTTCATACCTGTATATAAATGAGATCAAGTTGGCAGTATTAGTTTCTTCATAGCACAGTTTTGAACTTGCATACCAAAGGATATTTAGAAGACATCTGTCCTTTATTTTAAGTAAAATGTTTGTTAAGTTTCTTTTGATCAATTTACTAATAATTCTTGATAGTACTTTTAGTTGCCTYTTTATCTATAGTGAGGAATCCCACCTGGTCTTTGCTGGTTTTGTACTATACAAGCATACAGAAAGTGAATTCTCTTCAAGTTAGCATCTGACTAAGGCATTTTTTTCTGTATCAATACACTTACCTATTAATCACTCATCAGATATCTAGAAACCACGTCTTCTATCATCCATGTACCTTACCAGCACAAATTAATAATCCCAGTCCTAAAGTAACTGCATTTGTCCTGATGGTTAATACACATTGTGGATATCAGAGTTTTTTTAGGAAGCCTGTTTGATTAAAAAAAGAAAAAAGAAAAAAATMCCAAACTGACAAAAACAAGAAAACTCCCAACCCCCACAACTTCCCCTCCAAAAAACCCATTCTCACCCACATCCATATTACAATTGTTTTGCTAACCTGCAGCATTGATATAAACAAGCTTTTTTCCCTCTGGCATACCTTAGATCATGTGTATAATCACAAAACAAATTTATCAAAGYCTTCACAGGTGTTAGATAGTCAAGTCAAAAGCTGTCTTAAAAGGATCCYCTTTAAAGTTTTATTTCTTTGTCCTTCAAATGAGTGCAAAGAAMTATGTTTATGCACTGGAAAAATTCTGTATGGGACTAGTAACATCAGTTTGCTTTAAAATAGTCCTGCAGGAATGAGAATTTTATTTTCATCTGTAATGCACAAATTATTAAGTCTTTTAACTACTGCTTTAGTCAATGGGAGCTGTATGCCTCACTTCTCTAAACCATGTTTTTCTCYTCCCTGTTTCCTTTGCAAATCTTTCCCAATCTTAATGAACAAAATCATTAGAAAATATAAGTAAAGGATCCAAATGTTGCACAAAGCTTTAACCATGTACCTGTATTTAGCTGAAAAAGTGTTTCTATATACAGATTATAGAATGGTAGGGAGCTTTAGAGCTAGAAGTGATGTAGAGATGTTGACCTCCTTCTGCTTCTACACTGAGTCTCTGTAGACACATGCTCTGTATTGTCACCTGAAACATYCCTGTCTTCCACTGCTAAAGGCACCTTGCTAGCTATGTAAGATGCTGAGCACCAAGGTGCTGCGATTTTTTTTTTCTTTTCTAAGAATTAAAAACTAAGTGCAACTAAGTGTTGCACATACAATAAATGCATATCCTAATGTGATCCTAAGGCCTGATCTAATAAATACTGTTATGTGAAAGCACTACATAAGGTTTTATTTATTTGGATGGAAATCCAAGGATAAACTTCAGTGCTTTCTAGGTCTTTTTATGCTTTTTGGCTTAAAAGCTATGTTGGTTTCAGTTTTAAACATGACACTTGTTGGTAGTCTTCTTCTGGGGAGAGTAAGTTTCCATGGCATCATATATGTGTGGGTTCATTGTATGCCAATGTTAGAATCAACTCAAGTGTTTGGARGATGTCCTTTCCATTCCAAGGAGCCAATTATATTATTACTAAATTGCCCTTGTAAGCACATACTTTTAGAAGGAATCGAGTGTTTTCTAAAAAGCTACTACAGTTAAAAAATACTGGTCAAATGGTATTGTTCCTTCAATGTTACAGTCATCAGATGCCTGAATGTAAAAATGCCTCTGAGTGGCACCATAGCATGTTCTGCAGTTTCAGTTGAKTGCCATTCACCTAACTGCAGTCTTGAACACCCCATATGCGAGGAACTGCTTGCAGTGTTTGGTCCAAGGTASCCTTTGTTTGGTTTTATCTCACCCTCTTGCTGTGCATCTGTGGAAGAAGACTSGTGTGTCTTTTAGTCACCATTGACCTAAGTGGCCCAAATAAAATAGGTGTTTCACTTCTTTTCAATAGTTCCTTCAGTGTGTGTTCTTCCTAGTTTTGCCCAGTGGACTTGAGAAATGTGGCAGGTATTTCCACAGTTTAGGTCTGTGCTTATACTCAGCATAGACACAATTTCATCATACATCTTCTGTCCCAGAAGCACGATTGTCAGTACAGATTGTGGTTTAAAGCTGCTAAGGTGTTTGAAATATAAAACATCCAGCCATATATATAATAGATCTAACTGAACTTGGAGGCCACTTGTTTATTTAGCTTCCTATCTAGTCAGYATTTTCCTCTCAAGGGAGCCATATTTTTTGCCTTGAAATAGCTTTAAAATAAACTAAATCTTGCACTTGACAATACTACTTTAGTCATGCGCAGCAGGAAGCTGTTTCTTAAAGAAAACCATGATGGGAAAAAAGAATTCAAGAAAATCTTGCAATGTGTATTCTGATTCTGCAGAAGCAACTTAATASCAGATTAGAGAAATGCAGCATGTGAGACTTACCTCCCTTTAGTCAGTGTTTTGATGGAAGCTGTGATGCTACTCAGTTTGCCTGATGAATTTTTATTGAAGCTAATCAGGGGGTGGAAGCCAAGGCCTTACAGCAACAGTTAACCATATCTTCTGATRTGATTACAAATGGATTTTAAAATGCCAAAAAATGCCTTTTTAAAGAGTTAAATGCTAGGTCTGAGGAGTGCTGGAAATAGCTACTTTCAGAAATAAGCCATCAGGCACTGTAATGAACTTGTTTGTCTTCTGTGCAATATCTTTTTYGCTCTGGGTGCTTTAAGAGTATACTGTATGTCTTGCTTTGTTTTGATCAATATGTTTTAAGAGTGTATATATTGGCTAATGATGGATTTTTTTCCTGTACAGCTTGGTGGAAGAGGTTTTAAAATTTTGCACTTTTCTAGGATTTGCAAGTTTGTAACCTGAAAATTTTTAACATGCACACTTTTGTACAGAATTATCATTGTATATATTTAACATGAGTCTGAAGCAAATAAAAGTAATTGAATGCRCAACTTCTCCCTTTATTAATAGCACAAAAATTAAACTAAGTGTGGGAGTACACTGAACGYACAATGCTTTTATTTAGCAGGTAAAAGTAGGCAGCAGAAACAGCTGATTCAGTGTCCTGCCTTAACTGTGTTAAGGCAACTTTTTGGTGGGGAATGAATCAAAGTGGATACATGAATGTGCAGGCCCCTTCAAGCTTTGAATAGCTATGATTATCCAAGTACTGCAATAAAACTTCTTTTTTTTTTTTTTTTTTTTTGCTGGGAAGGAGATGATTGAAACATGAATTGGGGTGAGGAAAAGAGCCAAGCAATACATATTTATCTTTATTTATGAAGCTCAAGTTCCCCACCCACCCTGAGACTACAAGCATATCTTTCCTTCTTGCTCATTGTCTTTCCCATATAGTAACTCTGGCTGCAGAATATGGAAGGCTACAGATTTGGGGCATTACTGTCATTCAGGAGGAAACTGAAATCTGTTCCAGGTTCATGTTCAGTTGGTTTCTTACCCCTGCAAAGAAGACAAACCATGCTGTGAGCTTTAATGGGAGGTGGGACTGCTCTGCTTCTGTTACTAGGGATGGAACAAGGCACCCTTGTTCTTAACAAGCAGAGTTTTGACTCCCCTCTTCGCCCACATTATGTGACATGCATCTTAGATCTCTTAATAGTGTCCATATGATTATAGATTTTGATTCCCTTGCTCTGGAGTTCAATGCATTAGGGCCAAACTGGCACTCCCCTGGTTTTCAGTAAAAGACCTGACTATTGGGGCTCTTCCTGTGAAAGGTAACTAGAATTTGGAAACATAAACACCAATGCAATGCCAAAGCACATGCTGGGTTATTAGTCAGACATCTTTTAGAGTGCAGTCATCCTGCCAGCTCCTTTGGAGCATGAAACAATACTTGCACTTTCCCCAAGGAGAAATGGAATCAAGGGATTAAGTAACTTCTGATGTGGGGGACAGGCAGCATGTGCCAGGAGGCTAACAGAAGCCTCTCTTCCTTTCTCTGTGAAGGAGGATATCAATTCAAGTGAAGCATTTACCTCAAAAACAGACGTGCTCCTGTCACTCCTTGAAGTGTGGCTTTATCTCCTTCCACTAACAGCATGGTACCTTCCCGCAAACCCTGTTGGATGAGGAAACATTTAACGTGATTTTCAAGCTATTTGAAAGGGTTTGAATGCTTGTCACAAGCAGGGCAGTCTTAGTGCAGCTCACCATGACTATAGACTAAACYTCGTTTACCTAACAAAGATGCAAACACAAAATTAGGTGAGTTATCTTGTTTTAGAAGCTGATTTTCTTGTTTATTTCAGTTTTCACTTTTAAAGGAGAAACCATTAAGGAGAAAACTCTGTTTTTTCCCCCCAGTTATTTCCACTACCCCACCATTCTTAGATTCAGTTTGGGCCAATCAACGACCAGCTGAGTTTGCTAGAGCCCAAACTTTATACTACACTATCAAACACACAGACAGGAAACACAGAAGTTCCACTTCCCCAGACACACATAAGGAAATTACACATATACTGCTACTGAATGTGCAGATTCAGAAACTGTTTTACAGAGATTAAAGTTAAAGAGTATCTGCAAAAAGATTAAGGGGAAGTATTGTACCATCTGTACGCACACGGCCCCCAACACACAATACACGCCTGCTGGCCAGTGACAGCAAAAATCAGAGCTGCCTAAAATAGTGTTGAGCAACACTAACAGGAGTATGCATTTCATTTTCTGTGGGCAAAAGCAAAGGCTGAAGCTCTTAGCAAGAGTACAATTAGCATTCCATGGCATGGTTCTGCAAGTCTTGACAGGCAGGGTACCCACACTGAGAACTAGTGTGAATGCATTTGAAATGTTTATCATGCTACAGCCAGGATCTCCCTGACACAGAGCTACTCACCAGAACTGGAGGGGTGTTTGGTTCTTCGTGATACTGGCGGATTCTTTCCTCTCTTGTCTCCTGCAGTAATGAGCATAGATTAAGCTTCTCAGGCCATAAGGTAGGACTTGGAACTATCCAGGTAGTGTCACATCAAGCAATTTCATAACATAAAGCAAGTACTTTCTCTCCAGCAGAATGGGATGGCAGGATTGACTCTTAATTGACATGTGTTCTACMCTTCACCACTAGCAGCAATGTACTGCAGGTTGCTCAAACAGAACTCACACAATCCCAACCCTGAAAAGCCTTAAAATTTACTTCTACTCAATTCATCCACTTTGTTTTTTTATTAGTACTGTCTCTGTCTGCACTGAGGAAGGTGGTAGAAGCAAATGCCTGAGGTGCCACCTTCCTGAAAGGGAGTAGTGAATCATGGATTTTCAGTGATTAAATATTTGCTTTTTTGTCTTCAAGTAGGTTTTACACTGAAGAATTTCCTTCTGTGAACAGCTCTATCATGTTTCCTGAGGTTTGCTGCTGAACTGAGCAACAATAAAGAAACAGGAAACATAGGAGCACAGCAGGGACTTRGTACAGCACAGAGCTTCCAACCTCTGAGAAAAAGCAGAAGTTATTTATAAGGAAAASATTGCCTGCTAATCTAGTGACAAACTGATTAAATGAATACCTACAACCTCATCTAAATTCTAGAAGCATACCCATAAGCACCATCTCTTCATTATTCCCTAATTCTTCACACTTTTTCTAACCATGGAATTTTGATTACAAGGAGGAATATTATTTACGTTAAAGGATGCACCATACAAACTGTTCCCTGAGGAATCAGTTGACTTTCTATTCAAGAAGCAGCTCATCCCCACTGTATGGAAATCTGTCTTTATGCTTGATGGCTGAAGTGTTTTTCTTTCAGCTATACTGTGTGTGCTTGCTCTGTATTGGGCATCACAGGCTGTAAAGTGTTACTGCTTCATTGGCATTTCCAGTTTCTCTAGGGAGCAGCTGTTTGACATTCTATAGCTTTGTAAGGCCTCAAAAGTGCACACTATTTTTACTCCTCCACACTCTGGTTATTGTGTTAGTTCTGGTGTGCTTTACTTACACCCATGTGAGTTCTCTTAATGTCTGGRTCCAGGTAGTGGGGGTTAATATTGAAAGGAACTAAACCTAAGGCCTTCAGGGAAGGTGGATAAACAATTGGCATGTCATTGGTGGTATTGATGCTGAYGGTAGCAACRTTAGTTCCTGCGCTGGATCCCATGTAAGGAATCCCATCCTGAAAGACAAAAGCAATGATCAGTCTGCAGTATCACAACTAGGATTTGCATTTTATAGCATTTTCTATCAATCTYAGAGACTCCTCAGTCAGATCAGACTTAGTCCTTCTAGCTTTTCTCACTGCTAACTTTACAGGTAAAAAGCAGAAAAAGAATTCAGGCTCTGAGGTAGGCAGTAGCTTGTATCAGAGAACTAACTGCTGCATGCCTTGTACTCACAACTCTGTGAGCCCACAAGAGAGAACTTAGCAGGCTGTCAGTGCATGTTGGACTTGGCTATTAAGAGAGGGGAGACTTGTCTCTGTTGTAGTCACAAGAAGTAYCTGAACTGGCTTTTAAATAGCTCCTGAAGAGAGCAGACCATTGGAAGTTAAGTGTAATGTTGTCAAGYGTCAGCTTACCAGTACCATCACCAGTACGGCACTATTCATACCACTATGCTGTACATAGAAGAATGCCACACAAATATGCAAGTATACAGGTAATGCCAAACAATTTGTAAAAATAGAGCTATCTTGAGACAACTGATGGAAATGCACCCAAGTAGTTATCCAGACTTAACTGGTATTTTCTGGCTTTTATTTCCACAACAGATGCTGAATTTCTATACATGAATATAAGCCTAGCTAACCTTTTTTCTTGGCAGCTGGCTTTACTGTGGCTTGTATAAATCTACATMAAGTCATTTGCAATTCCACATTGCTAGGGAACACCTTCCTTCTTTCTCCTCTGGGGATGGTGTATGTTTGCTGTGCCTTATGAGATTTACCAGCTAGATTGGTGCTGCTGGCCAGAAGGGCTCTATGGCACTCACACCTCTTAGTACCAAGRAGTTACAGAAATTACATAATTTTCAGCATCCACAGGACACTSTCTAAAAGGCACACTAAAAGGCACATACAGATCCAACTTCAGTACCAGTTTATTAGCAGGCAAACTACAACATGAACAAGGTATGAAGCAGACATCTCAAGCTGAAAAACATGGTTTCTGGACRTAGATTAAATCCTGCACTGCTCTTCATTGGTATAATGAGGGATTTACTTCTAGGGTTCTATGAAGCATTGTACATCCCAAAGTCTTGCAGTCCCACATCCAGAAAACTCCTCTAGGAAGACAGACTGCTGACTTTAAGGCTTTTCAATGRCTCAGTAACAGGCTTATTTGGCCCTGGTTTTCAGTTCACCAGGTTGCCTGAAATGGCTCAACATTTGAAGTATATTAGAGACAAAAATGTAGAATCAACTTGGATTTTTCTGTCCAAAAGCTCATGCCTGAGATCCTGCCATTTAGACTTGACCAGAATCTAGTTTTACCTCAAGAACTCTCTTCCTGATCTCATGTATCAGACTGTTGTCATAAAGAGCCTTCAGGAGACGGAATGTGTTCCCACCTCCTGCAGAAAGAAAGTTCAGCTTATTTAACATGCTTTCACCATCCGTTTAATTGAAGCCTTTACAAACTTGGCAAGCTCACTGAGTTCTRTGCCCTGTTCAGGGTAGTATTGTGCTTTGAGAAACAGTAAAATCAGAAGCTTCAGACCATGGGCTCATGCCGTGAGTTGTCCTTGTAAGGCTGGCACTGTCTGACAGTGACATCTCTTCGAATACCCAGGAGCATGATATTACAACTAGATCTTCTTGGGCTAAGTAATGATACAGCTGTTATGATCATCATCATGTTTTTACACTGAGGTACTGTTCAACACAGTAAGTTCCATYAGTAAATCTACTTCCCTACCCACCACTAAATTTAGGGTCTTAGGGCTCCCAAGTACTGCTCTCTGCAGTTTCTAGTTAGTAGGCCTGACTTGATTGTTGGTCTTCATTGCCACCTCTGAGCAGGCCTAATCCAGTGCCCTATATAAACCTTCACCAGGGACTAAGAAATAAAACTTACCAATGAATATTGCTTCAGATTTCCTTACAGCTTCCACTGGATCACAAAATTCATGAATGCTGTCCAGCCCATAACCTTAAATTAAAAAGTATTTACCTTTGACAGGTCAGTCTTGTGGAAGAATGTGATACATTCAATCCCTCCCTGCCTACCCCTCCAACCCTGAGCCAAATGGCTCAACCACAAGAAATTTCAGAGAACTCTACAACATAAAGTATGTCCTGCATTCGTGCAGGCCTTCAGCATCCAGCTGCACAAAAGGAAATGTTTGCTTTGTKGATGTATGCACTCAGTGTCTAGGAGCACAGCATTTCACTCAGCAGGTGCAGGCTGAGGCACAACAACCTACTGAGCATTACCAGATAASTAGCAAATAAGGAAAAAGCTGTTAGTCCCCAGCTTGGCTGTGCTGAAATTTGACAGGATGTGTCATCATTAGCTCTAGCATTGTTTRTGCAAATAACTGATCTGAGTATTGTTTTGTTAAAATGTCTGACTTTGATAGATTTGCCTTTCTGGGTTTCATGGAGTACAAGAAGTGTCAGGAGAGACAGAAGAATATGGGCATTTCATAGCAGCAATCTTCTGGCAAGTCAGGGAGCAAAGTGTGCTGCCCAGGGAAGTTGGTACTGATTATTACTACACTAACAAGTCCAAAGTTACCCTCAGCAGTGACAGATACTAGGTGGAGGTGTTGCTATAGGCTGCACTGCAAAGATCTTTGCTCCAMGCAAAGCTCAGCTGCCGTTCATCGTGGAACTGGCTGACTTCACGTAACACCAGTGGTTGCACGGCTTGAGCAGATGTTTTAGATGCATGGGAATAAATGTTCCCTCATATGATTAAGAAGGGTAAAAAGATGCCATTCAGTATTTAGGTATAAAATRTCCTTCCTGGAGTGGGTAGAAGTGTTTGCAGCAGGATTTCTTCTGGAGGCCTCTAAAACATCTCCTTCAGGGCACAAGTGCGGAGCCGGCTCCTGCTGCTCTCACTGCCCTTGCTGCCCGTACCGCAGCAACCCAACCCAGTCCAGCCCAGCCCCGCAGGCTGCAGCGCTGCGCCCGTTCATGRCCCCACAGCGCAGAGCCGGGGCGCCCCATGCCCGCACCCTGCTCCCCGTGCCCGGTGCCGGCTCGGCAACCCCGGGCACAGCCGGCGTGGCCGGGGCAGCCGGGCCGGCCTTACCCAGGCTTTCAAACTTCGCCCTGGCGGTGCGGGCGTAGGCGTCGCGGTCGTGTAGGGCGTAGGGGATGAACAGCACCCGCTTCACATTCCTGGGAGAAGAGAGCGGTCAGAGCGGCGGAGGCGAGTGCCGGGMGCGCTCCCTCTGCCCTGCGCAGCACTTACTGCCCGAGGAACTTCTGGATGTGCTGCTGGCAGTGGCCCAAGTACCCCCCTCCGTGCAGGGTGGAGTTGGAGATCAGCAGCAGGCGCCGGGGGCCCCCCATGTCGAGCCGAGACGAGCCTTACCCCTAGCGCAGCCCAGCCCAGACGAGCCGTGCTCCCGGCCCAGCCCGCTCCGCCCCTTCCTGCCCTGCTGCCGGCCCGGGGTGGGGTCGAGTCGCCGCTGCTCCGCYGCCCCGGCACAGCCATGCTGGACTTCGCCATTTTCGCCGTCACTTTCCTGCTCATCCTGGTGGGCGCCGTGCTCTACCTGTACCCGGTAATGCTGCCGGCGGCGGGGCGGGGGGCGCACGGCACAGCCCGGCCCAGCCCGGCCCGGCTCGGCCCCCGGGGCAGGCAGGCGGGCGGGGAGCGAGCGGCCGCGGGGCAGAGGCAGCCCCGGGCCCGCCCCACGGCTCCTGGGCTCGGGCGGTGCCCCAGGCCCGTAMCCCGGGGCCCGGGCGGGACGTGGCATGGCCTGCGGGAGAAGCTGACGGGCGGGGCGTTCTCGGGACAGCACACACCCAACTTCTGCTTTACGTACAGCACACACCCACTTCTGCTTTACGTACTCCGGGAGTGACTCCCGCTTTCCAAAGATGCTATCTGCTCGCCTTGCGTTCTTGCAGCCCTCCAGGGCAAATCAGTGTGTCAGATCCTTCATTGCAAACTTGACCCTGTAAATCTTTACCGAGCCATCTTTCATCTAACACAYGAGTAATCCTGGTTTAGCCAGTGGACACACAGTTTATCGGCTTAGTGCGTTTAAAGCCTGCAGATGTAGCATATCAGCTTCTGTTTCATGTTTGTAAGTAGTGTAGTAGTATTGGTGTGGAAGATTCATCTCTCCAGCTGGAAAGCTGTGGGACTTGTAGAAAACCCGAGGTTCATGTAGATTGATGCATTTCCTTTTACTCTAGGCATCTAATCGAGCATCAGGTATCCCTGGGYTGGCTCCAACTGATGAAAAGTAAGTGGTTTCTGTCCCAACACCGATCAAGTTCCACATTGGCAGGGGATGCTATTCATGACCAGATATCCTCTGTGTTTCCCAGGGATGGCAATCTGCCAGATATCATTGTCAGCAGCAGTTTACATCAGTTTCTTGTGAACTTTCATGAGAAATATGGGCCACTGGCCTCCTTCTGGTTTGGAAGGCGTCTTGTCGTCAGCCTTGGCTCCATTGATCTCCTGAAACAACATATTAACCCCAACCGGTTGGGTAAGTGTCTTTTACCTTGTYTTTGAGTTAGTGTGTTCTGGCCTTGCTGGGCTTCCACTTTTTTCAGTGGAAAGGTGYCAAATGAAATTGGGGTTTCATTCTAAGTTGAAAGAAAATGAGACTGTGTTTGTAGCTGTCATGGTGGTTCAGGTATGATTTTGGTCCTGCTTACTGGACTTGGGTATCAGTGACCCAGAGTTACTGCTGTCCAGTGGCCATCAAGAAATCAGTATGCTTGTGTCTTCTACCATCTCTCTACAGGCAAATGTTCATGGAAGGCATCATGCTTATTAGTCACTTGATAGAGCACGGTGAGCATCCTGTAGCCACATGGCATACATTTGAAAAGCAGTTTGAAATGTAGTCTAAGAGCAGAAACTTTGCTAAATTTAGTCTGAAAACAGCTCTGCTAGTTTGTTGTAATTGCCTTGTGTCATTGAATATGGAGGTTTTTTAAACAATTCTTTGGAGAAGTTCTWGAACTTTCATTTTTCTTTTGGTATATAGAATTTTGTGCTGAAAACCTGTAATCATATTCCAGTCTTGGAAGCAGTTGGTGGTGTTAGTAGCTGAGTTGACCATCCTAGTCATGGGAGGGTATTTTAACTGATGACCTAAGCTTCTTAGGTGGGCATTTTGCTTCCTAAGGTTATTACACTCAAAACGTTAACTCAGTTGATGTTTGGGTTTCATTTCTTTCTTTTTCARTATTTATCTTACCAGGCTGACTGAGGTGCTGGATTCACACCTCTGACTTGATCCTGTAGGCTGTCTTTAGGCACAGGCAGCTATCTCAGATCACTTTATGTCAGGGTCGTGAGGGATAAGCTTCATGTACAGCTGCATGACAAAAACAAAAAAAAGAGATGCTGACAGTCTGGGAAAGGAGTGGGAGTTAACAAGGATCAGCAAGACACAGTGTATAGCAATGACACTCCAGAAGGTGGAAAACCACCCTGAAGATCTGAATGCTCTCAAGTCTATTTAGGGGAAATTAAGCAGACAGTTGATTTTTCAAAGCTCACAGAAGTGGTGACAGGCCTCTGAGCAGTCAAGTTCTCAGAAATGTGCTGAATTTGGGAGTATCTGAGTATCGGAGAAAGAGAAGTATGGTGCCTGGATTTAAATGCAGGAAATCAAGTGACCCAGGCAGCTACAGACTAGCCCAATATCCTGCTATGCCAAGTGCTAAACATGTTTTTTTTTTCAGGATGAGGATAAATGGGAAATGCACAYTGTACTTTGATAATTAGATTTTGARACAAGGAAAGTGATAGAACTGTGTTTATGTCARGGATTCAGTTCAGAATTTGCTTGGACACTGGTAAATGAAAGAGGGAGCAAGGTTGTATTGTCTTGGAAAAGTGAAATGCAGTGTTGGGGAGGTGAAATACTGCCTCTTATGTTAGCAAACTGCCCTGATGGCATTATGCTGGGACCCTTTGTCAACACAGGGCTGAAGAGTGAGATGGGTGTCCCTGAGGGCTGGGAGAACAGGAACAGGAGTGGGAGGAGAGGAAGCAGGCTGCACAAATTGCCTGCAGGATGAATGGCCATGGARAGGAAAGGATACATCGAGTCATGCATTTTCTGTAAAGACAGGAAAGCATTTAGACTTTTGCACAAGATGAGCATGAGTCAGACCTGGAGTCCTGTGTGTGGCTCTGACCTCTGCATGCAGGCATGATTTTGAATAAAGCAAGTGCAGATAGAGGGTGCCAGTGCTCGTAGAGAAGTGGGAAGCCTGTTATGCCRGAGAAGCCTGGAAAAGTGCGTTCATCTCAGCAGAAGAGTTTATGAGGGGATGGATCCTCATAAAGGCAACAGGCTTGAGAGGGAAGGTTCTTGCRAACTCAGAGATGGAAAAACAGCAATATTAGTTGTATCAGTGCTTTKCTTTTAGCACCAATGCCTGCCAGAAGTCTACCACCTTTATTAGAGGTGAGGAATCYTACTGTTTGTATTTCCTGAAACATTGAGGTACAAACAGTAATAGCTGAGTAGCTGTAGCAAAGCCCTTCCTGTACCTTTCCTTGGTGAGTGGGTTGTGATAAGTATCAGCCACAAACTGGCTCTGGGCAGCTTGAGGTTTTGTTGGAGATGCGGTGTTACCTGTGTGTCTTCTGTAAACATGGTGTTGTAGGACAGGAGATGGCCCACAGACAAGCTGCATTATATCCAATTCCTGACTCTTCAGCCCCACTTGAAAACCCATGCTATGTGACTCCTCAGTCTTCTGGGGTGCCTAAGGCCACCCCCGCATCCGTCTTCATGGATACCTGACAGTTGGTTTCCAAAGCTGAGGTACAGGGTTTGGCTCCAAGTATCATACAAAGGTTCCTCTCATCTCATGTGTGTATCACAGGTATGGCCAAACATCTTGGAGACAGAGACAGAGGTGCAGATGGTGCATCTCTCATCAAAGCCTTGAAGTTGGACTAATTGCATTCAAAGTTATTAACATTTCCAATTCCAGGAGTCTCTTTTTCCTTATGCTTAAAGCTGTGTTTGAAAYTGGTATGTTTTCATGGCCTCTTAAAACTTGGTTGAGATCAATTTGCAAGAAGAATTCAAACGAAGTAAAATTTTGCAGCTAGTACTGGTGATTCCCCTGAGTGGCTCTAGGGAAGCAGTTCAGGCCTTCAGAGGATGTGGATGTGAAGAGGGTGGACTTATGCAGGATTGTCAATAGCAGTGTGTTCAGAACCAATTTGGAAACCTTGCCTGAGTCAATGTTGCTTTTTGGGTTGGAGCAAGGAATCTGAAACACATTGAATACTGGAGATGGAGCTGTGGGTCCTGGCCTGTCTGAACAGGACTTCATTGCTGTTCTGTGAGCACTTTACTGTGCAGGTTTAGAGGTCCGTTCTATCTCTGATGTTCAGTTTTGCTCAATCTCAGATCTTTTCTCTGTATCTACTTGCCATGGTGTCCCAGACAGCACTCTGAGGTTCTTGGGATGAGGAGATTTCCTTGTAAGTGGAAAAACAGTTAAAATTTTGATGTTTCACTAGGAGGGCTGAAAATGTAAGGCTGGAGATATTTTCAAGACAAGGACAAAGGATAAAGTCTATGCAAATACTGGCAGAATAGAGCTCACTCCTGAGGCCGTTTGTGCCATGTGGAGTCACTAGCTTGCCACTTGTCATTAGCTGTGGAGAGATAGCCCTTTCCAAATAGAATGAGGCAGAGCCATCCCTCTGCAAAAGGGCAGCCTGGGCTCTGCCGCCCTGAGTGCCTGACAGTGAGGGTGTATTGATGGTGTGGGATTGCCAGTTTAGACTGGGGACATTGGGAGAAAAGAAACAGAGCCCATGGCTAATCCAGCAGTTTTCTTTGCATCCTTTCCATGCAGCAGGAAAACTTTGCAGTTTCAGCAGGTGTTAGTTCTAAGCATCCTCCAGCCTCTATAGATGCCTGTTTGCCATATTTTCTGTGTGGGCTTTACCACCTGCCATGTGTCTTCCTGGCTACCTGGTATTGTGCCTGGCTGTACCAGTGCCAGTGCCAGTGCCAGTCAGCAGGGATCTGTGGCATGAATAGCAGCAGCCACTCCGTGACAGAGTACCTTGGAGGAGGAATTGTCAGCAGCAGCTAGAGTCACATAACAGTGCCACGTGGAGAGCAAGAGCGGCAGGTACCATCTGCCAGTGCCAAAAGACACATGCTCATGGTCCTTGTCATTCAAAGTGGGAAAGAGGGTGAGATGCAGAGCTTAAAAACATCGAAAAGGAGAAGATGTGAGAGAAAAACATTTGGGAAAGATTACCATATTCATGCCTCTGGCCTCGTTAGCTGCTTTTATGTCTTTAGGTAGTGAGTCCTCTGCAGGTGGGAATTTTCTTATATGTTTGCCTAGTGGGATAATGAGGCACCAATCTCTGGGGGGAATCCTAGATACATCCACTGCTGTTAAAGTCATATGTGTCTAGCCCAGCCTTGATGTTTTTTGATGCCTCAGGGGTTTCACTCTCCATCTGGGAGAAATAACAGACTGTGATAAACAGTGACAATTCCTGCATGAAAACCCTGATTGCTTCTTCCAAATAGTTCCTTAAAGATCTTGCCAGTTCCGCAAGACCTGCTAAAAGGTTTACAGAAAGGGAAAAATGTATGCCATGCTTTATTGCCCARTTTTGCATTGATACCTAATATCCTTTAGCAAATTTATTAAGTAGAGGTCCTTGGTGGTGAAATTCAGAGTTAAAATCTAGCTGAAATGAGCCATGGATATAGAAGTTACGTGGTTTTGTCTTGTTTTTACACTGATGGAAGTTTCTGTGTGGAAGAAGAATCAAAAGGTGATCAACATTAGAAAGCATTCTGTAGCTTAGGGGGGTACAGTTTTCTGTGGGAGCTTCAGAGCTTCTGTGCTGAAGGCAACCCTGGCAGACAAGTAGGTGCTGGTTTGGGAAGCACTCATCACTGGGGAGCTTGGTGCATGTGAGAAATGATGCAGGCTATCAAACAAGGTTTGCTGGTGATGCAAAGGAGGGAGGGAGTGCAGAGAGCAACCTTTGGCTAAGTCTGTCATGTGAGCTGGTATGTCCTGAATGCATAGCACCTTCAGRACTGGAGGGCACACCCGATGTGAGGGGGATTGTACTAAAGAGACTGCAAGTCAGGCTCAGGAAAAGGGGAAGGACTATGCCACATTCACTCTTGTCACCAAGTCAGTGGCACAACGTGCTGGAAGCTGGAAAACTGGGAACAAGCTCTGAAGGCCTTACTACTAAAGAGTTACTTGTAGAGCCCAGTAGGTGAGCTCTGCAGGGGGAGCTGATCACAGGATGACTACAGCCCCAGGTAAAAGACTTTATGATGTCCCAGCCCACACTGAGCAAGAGAAACTTGCTCCTAAGAGACTGTTCTAGGGTAAGGAGCCACACCCTGTTCACTGCTCAGAAATAGCAGTACCCAGTTAAAGAGGCTGCTGTTTTCATCAGCCCTGTGTAGTGTGACTTTTGAATGGTGCATCCTCTGTTTGCTTTCAGTGGAYCCCTTTGAGACAATGCTGAAATCCCTCTTGAGGTACGAGGCCAMCCTGAATGGGGATACAGGAGAGAGCCACATGAGGAGAAAACTGTATGAGAACGGTGTGACCAAGTCCTTGCAAAATAACTTTGCTCTCATCCAAAAGGTGCGTAGCTGCCTTTGTATGGCAGAGAAGCCATGTGTGGCTCACAGGGGAAGRTTTAGTGAGAATGATCACTGGGATAAAGGATCTGCATTCAAATTGGTGCTGGAGCTATAAGCATCTGAGATAGCAAACAGCCTCTGCCTTTCATCGTGTGAATATTTGGTTTCTCTTAGCTCCAGTGGGTTGGGGGAAGGGCTGAGCTTGGCTACTTTTTATGCCAAGATACCAGACTGGAGCACCTGGATTCTAGATATATTTCCCAGGACAGGAGGATGAAGCAAGGAACCAYCTTTTGGGGCCACAAGCAGGAGAACTGTTCTGTTGATTTAGTCCAGCAACTAGAGTATGATCTGTTTCCCTGTTCTGGAGCTGTTAGTGTTGAAGGGCTTAAAGTTTCTTTTGTGACAGAGGGAGCAAGAGAGGAGGATAGGGTTGCCTTGTTGGGGAAGAGCCTTGAAAGAWACAGAAGATTGGAGGCTAAAATATTACTGTTTAACAGTGGGAAGAAACCATGGAAAGAATTCAGCTTCATTCCACAGCCATGAAAGTGTGGTCYGCCTTAGGAACTGGGTGGGAACGTGTCCAGGATGTGTTTGGTAAATAGATTGCTGGTATTACTGCTAACTAGTGGTTCATTCCCTCTCAAGCTGTCAGAAGAGCTGCTGGCCAAATGGCTCTCCCTCCCCGAAGCACAGCATGTGCCACTCTGCCAGCACATGCTGGGCTTTGCTATGAAGTCTGTCACACAGACAGCTATGGGCAGCAGCTTTGAAGATGACCGGGAAGTCATCCGATTCCGCAGGTACCATGATGCAGTAAGTGTCCCAAAGAGCCAGGAAATCTATTAAATTTTTCCAGACTAAAAGCACAGTTTGTATCTATTTACAGTTTAGTACAAGCTACTGCTGAGACTTTAAAGGATAAGCTTGAGGATTCTGCCTCATGTGTCCCAAGCTGRAAATGATCCTACTGCTGATCCTGCTGTTGCTAGTCAGAGGTGTTTCTAAAGGATCCATAGGGATCAGGAGCCCAGATCCTGAGTGGCACTTGGGTGGTCTTTGGTACCCTAAGTCACTTAAACTCTTTGGGGACTGCCAGTGGAATTTCTTCTTTTCAAAGATCTTCTGAGGGCTCTGTGACCTTGTAGAGAAAAGAAAATCTGAGGAGATCTCAAGCTGTATCCACATGTGAGGATGTTAAATATGSTAGTGATAGGGTGGGAAAGAAACAATTCCATCTCCCATTTAAGATTCCCATGCTTTTTCCCCTGCAGTTGTAGTTACAGTGGTTTCATTTCAGCTTAATCCCAGCTATGATTATCAGCTTAATCCCATATCAGACATAGTGTCTGAAATGGAATCTGGTGTGCTAAAGAGAAGACCAGTTCCATATTGACAGGAAGTCTTAATTTTATTTGGTGTTTTCATTTTCCTGAGTAGGGAAGAATAGAATAGTCCCAGCAGTCACTGCCTGTGGTGAGTGCTGGTGCTGTTCTCTCTGTTCTTCTTTCAGATCTGGTCAGAGATTGGAAARGGTTTCCTGGATGGGTCTCTTGACAAAAACACGACTAGGAAGAGGCACTATGAGGATGGTAGGTTTTCTCCCAAAACTTTTCTCCTGCTCTGATTAATACTTGGCAGTTAGCTAGCATGTGAAAACACTTCATGCAATGACATCTAGGTCCCTAACTCSCCCTGGTTCTCACAACAGGCATTCACATATCTTCAGATGTGCGGACTTCGTGCCAAAACCCTCCCACATTCCCCACCCCCTCCCCCATTCTGTGTCTGCAGATGAGACATTTAGGTGAGAGCCATCCTCCTGCACCATGCCTATGGAACCCCTGGCAAAAGGGACTCCCTCGCTGGAGGTGCAGTGGTGCTGTACTAATGTAACTCTACAGGTCCTGTAACCAGTGTTATGTGGCTYTCACATATTTTCATGAGGGCTGATGGAATACATTCTTTGAGGGTTCTACAGCATTATGTGACTTCCCCTTATGTTGTTTCAGCTCACAGAGTATACATCTTGGCTATACCTGTAAGGATGGCTTTTTATAGACAACCCATGTTACTTGGTTCCTACATTTTCAACTGAATTGGAGATTCTGCCTTCCAAATTGGCAGTAACATGTAACAAAGGCTGCTTCTGTAAGTGAGCCCAGCAGGGACAGCTGGTCTGAAAATCTGCTTGGGAAGATAGATTTGCTTCTCTGCAGCAGAAGGATGATCAGGTTTTAAAATAAACATTTCTTTTTTCTTCCAAAGCTCTTGTGGAGATGGAATCCATCTTAAGGAAGGTTACAAAGGAACGCCGAGGCAGATCATTCAACAGGCATGTCTTTATAGACACCTTGCTGCAAGGGAGCCTGAGTGACCAGCAGGTCTGTGCAGTTGTTACCTCATTTCACAGTAGTGGASTTTTTCCAGATGGGCAATTCATTACATTGTAGCCTTCGTTTAATAGAAGTTTTTGCATCTTAGCTTAGATTGTTTATCAAAGCAGGGCTTCTAGTTCTTTTTTTCCCACTCCTACAATGTTTGATTGCATTAATCTTTGGTAGATTTCCTTGCCATTGCTTCATAGCTATTTTTATCAACCAGAAGTATGTTAATATTAAACATGYCTTGTGCAATTCAGTGGAAGTTTTACAGAGAGTTCAGTCCACGTCTTCTAGATATATTTCCTGTTCTGTGCACTAAAAGGATTTAATGTGCTTGAGTGGAGAGTAGGCCACTGCATTTTTCTCTTTACAGYCTTCTGAACTTCATTCTCTGAAACAAATTTTCTTTCCTAGATTCTGGAAGATACAATGATTTTCTCCTTGGCAGGATGTGTAATCACTGCTAAYTGTAAGTACAGTAACTGTAGGTAATTTCCCATCCTTACACTCAGCAGCCAAAAACTGTGTATGGTGTCATGAGACTTATTCCAAGTTTAAAAAACCTGTATTTATCATTCTCTTTCTCCTGAGCTACAGACATACAGAAGAAGCTAATTTTTTCATCAGACTGTTGACACAGCCTCACAGTTAGTGAGCTGAACCTAAGCTGTGCTTGATAACCTTTCCAATCTTTTGGTGAACCTTAGAATTCATCCCCATTTCTCTTTTCTTGCATTCTTAACTCCAGACAAGTGRTGCTAAATTTGATGAAAAAACACCAAAATGTATAAGCCACAAAGGTCATGTTGTAAAATAGGTTCTGGCACATGGGAAGAAAATTATACTGCTAGAATCTGTCTGGGTGCTTTGAATTTCTGGAGAATAGGTGTTCCATGTATGGAGGACTTTCAAAGAAACTGCTCTGGGATTTGTGCAAAGATTATGAAAAAACCCTAAACRAAAATACAAACTGAAGGTGTGTAAAGTACCTTATGATAAGGGATATCATATGATATTATATGATTATCTGGCTATGTATCTCAGCGAATGGGCTGGGACTCCARAGAAAACCTCCAAGATTCATCTAGGTGTTAAAGAATGTGGGAATTAAATTAGGCAACCATGGTAATACTCTCTCTAGAGAATATCCTCTCCAAGTACTCCAGGAAGACTGTAATTTTAAAGGGCTTGAATCCACATGGATTCATAGAATCACAGAATATTCTGAGTTGGAAGGATTCCTCTCCAGGATTCCAGATAGTTCTCATGAACAGACATATTTGAGAGCTAGAAACATTTCCCTGTAGCTGTAGGGAAACTGCATCCTACACACTTACTTCTTATGCATGTTTTTTTTTCTCACTCTGCTATTGAAGATATCTCAAGTACCTAAAAAATAGATGTAGGGGAAAAGGTGCTGGCCAACCTCTGCACAGAGCTCCCTGTCAGGAGCCCCAGGCATTGGCTGTCTGAAGCACTAGCCTAAGATGTGCTAGGGAAGCCCCCCACATAAAGGAATTTTCCAATTCTTTGAGCAAACCAGCCTTTCATTTGCATGGTTGGTCTAATAACCCTGATTCCCCTGAGTTTGTTGGGCTGTGTGGTCCCTTGGCCGAGGCTGTGAGGCTGAATGGTTTGAGCTCCCTAAGCTCCTCATAGCATCAGAAAGAGAATTTTAGCTTGCAGGGCCTCTTGTTACACAGGCGTTCCGAGTTCAGCCTCTGTTCCTACCACAGGATATAGAATTAGCACAGCCTGCTGTGAGCAGAGGTCACCTGTTTTTTTAGGTCAACAAGTAATGTTGAAAATAAAGGAAGTAAGAAAACTGAAAGCTGTTCATAAAGGATTGAATTTTCTGGGTCCAATCTTGCCTTCTTGTTTCCTTCCCCAGTGTGTACTTGGGCAGTCTATTTCCTGGCAACCTCAGAAGATGTTCAGCAGAATCTCTACAAGGAGATGGACCGTGTTCTGGGGAAGGGACCAATTACACATGAGAAAATGGAGCAGCTCAGGTGGGTCCTGTAGAATGAGCTGCAAGAGGAGGGCTGTGTCATGTGGTGGGAACAGGGGTTTCACATGGAGTCTGATGCCTAGCCTACACGAGGCCAGGGGAAGGCATCCAAGAGCTACTTACTCCCATTTTATTTCTTTTCTGTAAGTTGTCAAACAACAGGATGACCTGCAATACAGAGAGAATCTGCTGTAGGACTCCAGACACAGGAACCAAGGTGCTCAGGGTGATTGCAGGAAACCCTTTAGGTTCAGCAGCAGAGGAAAAGCACAGAATCAGTGTCCTGGCTGCCAGGCCAAAATTTTTTGCTTACTGACTTATTTGGTTTCTGGCCTAGTTTTCCAAAAGTAGGAGCAATCAACCATTTTCATGATTGGATACAGACATAACTAGAGAAGAAGCTTGGACCAGTCTTCTTTTCAAAGAGCCACAAGTGATGATGACTGACCAACAGTGTGCCTTTATGTTTATCATGTTGATGCAACTGGGTGCATTTTGTGTTTGGACTAGTGTTAGAGTTTCAGTAAGGGAATATAGTGTGTGGTTTTCTTGCTGCTGCTTGTGTAGGTGAGAGGTACATGAAAAGGGCTGGTGTGTTTATGCATTTTAGCAGATGTAGTTTGGTTTGAAATCTGAAAGAAGAGGGATTCCGATAACCTTCTGTGAAAGTTGTTAATGAGATTTAATGCTTCTTGCAAAGATGTTGGTACTCCTTGTCAAAAAAAATGTGAAGTGCCTTTAAATACAGCAGTTGACGCAGGTCTGCTTGCTGCCACAAAGACGTGGACAAGCTTCTCTGAGAGTTAACCTGACTGTCACTGGTTGCAGGTACTGTCGGCAAGTCCTGTGTGAGACGGTGCGGACAGCAAAGCTTACTCCCATTGCTGCACAGCTGCAGGAACTGGAGGGCAGAGTCGACCAACATACAATCCCCAAAGAGGTAGGACAGTGCTGGAGGTACTCTCCTTTCCTGTAGGGGAATGTGCTCTTTCCTCTTCTTCGAGACAAGGGGTGAGGCAGGAAAACCATTTCTTCTGGCACTGTTGAACCTGAGCATCTGCTCTGTCATCTGAAAGTACGGTTTAGCTCAAAGTTTGTGGTTCCTCTGTTGGAGAGGCTCTGGAAATTCATTTTCTCTTTCTGAGCAGATTTGCTTCTGATTCTGGGTCCACCAGGGATGAGTAAGTTTTTGAAGGGGCCCRTGGGCTCAGTTATGCATAAAAGAGCACAGTTTCAGGCCTCATCATATAACTAGTCACCTTCCATTGCAGAGAATAAAGTAGTCCATATGTACATCCCAGCAAGCATAGAGAAATGGGGTCACACCCTCTGTAACCACCAGCAATTGCAGTGTGATTCTAGAAGTTAAAATCCTAACATCTGGGCATGGATTATGAAAATCTGTAGATGAATACAGCGTAATTGTTTTTTAATCCGCCTAAATATGAGTAGTCTACAGAATAATCATCATCTAGAAGAGCTGTCAAGACGTGTGTTCAATTGTGCGTTGACGTGTCATAGTTCTCTTTGCAGACACTTGTGCTTTATGCTCTTGGTGTGATGCTGCAGGATAGTTCATCTTGGCCATCACCATACAAGTATGTAGAATCGAATTTTACTGCAACTTATTCCTTTGCTTTTTAAAATGAGGTCTTACAGCACAGCCCTTTGGGTTGCAGAGCCTGCCTTAAGCAGATTCTAGAGATGAAAGGGAGTCTGTAAGAAAATCAGGTTATGAAGGTCTGGGTTAAGTTTGTCTCCATGGGCCTGATTTTGAGGCAATTTAAGTCAGGTTCCTCCCATGCTCCAGTCTGCATGTGTGTGTATGTATGTGCTYGAGTTCAGCAAAAACTGTTTTTTGCACATACACAGAACTTCCCTGGTAATAATGCTGGTAAATTATGTTGAAGGGTTTCTGTGAAACAGTGACTTGAATGGCTTTGGTGTCACTGCTTGTTATCATGAAACAATGCAAGGGAGGAAATGCCAGTCTGAAGTTTTGGGTTCTTAGGAAGAATAGAAATGCTGCCTTAATGCTTCTGTCTGTGAAAACTGAAGTGGATCTAGGCCAGTGTTCTGGAGATTAAAGGAAAAAAAAATGCTGTAGCTTCCTGTGGCCTCCAGGTGRCAAATATTAATGTGTATCTGACTTAGTTTGCTTGGGCTGGCAGAAAAATGTGGGTCAGTTATTCTAGACAGAGAGAACAGACAGCTGAGAGTTAGGAGACAACAGCACCTGTCCTCTCCTGCAATTATACCTTTTAGAAAGGGGTCAGGCATTGATGCACCAGTCTATGAGCACCTTGGCAAGGATTRCCTCCCAAGATAAGACATGACTGTGTTTAGATTTGTTGAGGCCTCATGGGAGTGACTGTGAGGACAGCTATGAGCATTGTATGTTTGTTTTAGAAAGGCTGGGGTTGAGGTTTAGCTTTAGGTAGATGAATATTTCCATGACAGGGATGGGAGACCAGCTCTGTGTGATCCTTTCACCTCACCCACAACATGGTTGTTTTCCCTCCCTGCTTTTTTGCTAGGCAGCTGCATTTTTTCTCCTATTAAAAATCTGAAATTTGCACTTCAGGAGAAATGTAAGTTTGATGCTGCTTTTCCTTAATATCAGCACCCACACACCCTTTACCTTGATAGAAGCAGAGCTTGGTTGTTAAAGCAGGGAAACAGAGACTTGAATTATTTAGCAAAAAAGTTTGAAAGAACTGTCTTCTGTCCATGAAATTTTCTGTGTGCGGCTGGGTTTTTAAAAAATAATTAAATTGAATCATATTTTATTAGTTTCCCTTGTTTTAAACTCCTTCCAGCCCTGGATAATAGTTTTCTCCCAGCCTCTACCATCCTAAAGGTGGAAACTACTTTTCTCACTTGAATGAGTCACTGACTTCCCTCCTCCAGCACATACACATGCACACACCAGCTGCTAGAAGAGAATGACGGAGGGGTAAGGAGAAAAGGGAAATATTTTTGGAAGTGAAGAAGGGACTCGACTGGAGAGAGAGAGAGAGAGGGAGAGAGAGAGAAATGACATTGCATGTGCGCAGGAGAGGAGTAGAGGGCAGGTAACACCATCAGCTCAGCTGTGTACTGCATATTCGTTCCAGCCCTGTCTCATACTCCCTCAGTCTGTCAGCATTTTAAACAAAAAGGGACACCGCTGACCAGCTGGGAACATTGATGGAGTGGATGCACAATTGCCTTTATACATTTATGTGGAATGACCAAGAGAGAACAAATTAGTGAGGTTCTGTATTTAATTTCCAGTTTTTTTGCTTGCGTGCGTGTGTGTGCATGTTTCTGGGGAAAGGATTCTGTGCCTGCTCAGAAAGCCTTACACGTGTTTCATCTTTTACAGGTTTGACCCAGAGAGATTCAATGAGGAATTAGCCATGAAAAACCTCTCCTTGTTGGGTTTTTCAGGAAGCCAGGAGTGCCCAGAGTTGAGGTGAGCATAGGGGAGGAGGTCCTGGTGAGTCTTAGTGGCAGACAGCAGAGTCGGTGCTTCCAGCATCTTGGTATTACTGCTGGGACAACCTGTCCAAGTTGGCTGTTATCCTTTGGCAAATGTACATCAGAGCAAGGTTTTTATTTTCTTCTCCTGATTCTTCCCTCAGGTTTGCCTATATAGTGGCCACAGTTCTGCTGAGTGTCCTGGTAAGGAAACTGTATCTCCACCCAGTGAAAGGACAAGTCATGGAGGCAAAATATGAACTGGTAACCTCACCAAAGGAGGAAGCATGGATAACAGTGTCTAAGAGAAGTTAGGAGCAAGCAAAACAAGGGATTAAAAGTGCCAGCAGTGAAGTTCTGAGCAAGGGTCTTAATGAGAACCATATTGGCACCATTTTTACTCAGCCAGGGAATTGTCTATCCAGATATTTTTACTTTCCACATTCTTAACCACATGCCTATCTTTGGTTCGTTTTCTAATTCAACCAGTAGTCATATTAAAGTAGATTTAATCTATATGTCTTTTTTATATTTTCTTTTGGATCTCTTGCCAAACCTTTGCAAAGGAAGGAACAAAACCTTGCAGTGGTGTATGTATGAACTACTGGATTTCAGCTAGTCAAAAACCAGAGCCTCTTTCCCACAGCAGCCAGAGCTAGGTATGAGTGCACTTCTTATCCAGTGGAATGCTTCATTCTGGGTACTAGCTAAATAAGACCTTGGAAACACAAGGACAAACCCTTTCTCTATATATAGGTATTTTTATTCAAAGTGTCTTTCCTTCCCTTGAGCTATATCTGTCAAGAAGAGCAAATATATCCTGTGAGAAATATGTGTGAGTGTGAGAAAGAGAGAAATGAAGTGGGGTGGCAACTRCACCACCAGTTCTCTTGCTGTGTAAGCTTGCCATGCTGTGTAGTTGCAAGAGAAAGGATGACTGAGAAATGCAAGTAAACCAACAGGAATAAAATTGGTTTGGCCCCTGAGAAAACAAAATCATCAGTAATAATATAAAGAAATAAAATACAACCACAGAACAAAGCCCCAAGAAAGAGAGTCTCTATCCTGACAATTCTGAGGGCAGTGTCTAATCTAATCAACATCAGAAATTGACAGATGCTTGCAATTTATTCAGCACTGGGTCAACATGAGACTGGTCATGCAAATACTGGAGTGCTGATTTTRTAGGGCTCTAGATTAATGTTGTACTTAGTAACTTGAAMGCCTTTCAAAGAATCTTTTCTTCCTCCAAAATGCCAGCCAAACAAGCAGTGAATGCTACATATTCACATGCTTTCTCCTGATTCTTCCATTCTTTTTTGTCAATCCTAGGACAGCTCCATTCAGAGCCCCGCTGAATGGTTTGCAAGGCAGGAACCTCCTACCCCATCATTGCACTGGACTAATTGCCATCTGACTTACTGGTTACATTGTGTTTCTCCCTTTTTTCTCTTACACAGGATCRCTCTTTAACTGACCTGTATAAGTCTTTTCTCCATACACCTGACTTCTCTCTTAGCCCCAGTTCCCAGTCCCCCATCTCCACCCAGCAGCTGAGGAGTGAGAGGTTTCTCAGCCCATAGCAAAGTCTGCTTCAGCTGTACACAGCTGCCAGTGCACCCCAGAGCAGGCCAGGAGTGTGTGCCTCTTGTTTGAGTTATTTTTCACTGCTTGTCCAGACAGAGCACACATAACTGGKAAGTGCCGTTTTTCATTTCTACAGATACTGGTATTTTCACTGGTACCTTCCAGGTCAGGAAATCTGCTGCTCTTTTAAAAACGTTCTTCCAGTTGTCTGAGGTGTGCCAGCCYGAATGCAATACTGTCAGCTCTTACGAAGTTAGCAGCTGATGCCAGCCTCTGTGGGCACCTGACAAACTCAGGGCTCTTGGGTTTAACATGTCAGCTCTCTTTTTGGTGGAGCTGCAGAGATTCAGATGCCCCCCATTGTAGCTTCTGTTAGGGTAGAGTGATACAGAGATGTTGGGCAGAAAAGGGAAAGTTGTGCAGTTCAGCTTCCTCTGTTTCTTGCACTGATTTYATAATGAACTGCAAGAAAGCTCTTGCTAATCTGACCTCCCCTTAACTAAAGGTTGGTCATGTCCCCAGATGGCAATTCATGTTAGTCTTTGCTTCACTGCTTATGCAAAAAGGCCTGTTTATTTTGAAAGTTGCAGATGTTTCCTAAACCTTCTGGAGAAATTAGTGTGGTAAAAAAATTTTACTTTTAAGCATCCTTGGTGTGCAGAGAAGGCAAAATGAAGGCTAAGTTACTGCTTTATTGGGAAAATATGGTAGGGTAGCATTGTCCTTGCTAGGAGCTGGACAAGGAATATAATTGAGTGAAGATCTGCCTTCTTGTAGCTGTGTCATAGGAGTGAAGCTTTGAAATACTAGAAAAGCTTCCCAAGTGCAATTATCTGTATTTCTGGTACAGCATTTCTCTGCCTTGCTGGAGCTGTTCACACCATCTGCCTTGCAACAGTCCCTTCCCCAGTAACACGAATCAAAAGTGGCAGTGGTCCTTTATACTTAGTTACGAATTTTCCATTAGCCTGCACCCTTAGGCTGTACTGTGTCCAGGCCAGTGATCAAGCGTGCTGCAGGAGTCTATGACTGATGCAGGAGAAGAATGTGGCCCGGTGTGCTGGAGAGAGCCAATGATCTATTTGTGTTTGCTCAAAACTGCTGTCAGAAAAACACCCTGACTCATCAGTTAAGGAACGGTGTTGAGCATGGAGGGAAAGAAGGGGCGTAAGGCACTCTCAGGCATTTGTAATGCACTGCTTTACTGCTGGGAGTGACACTGAGGTCACAGCCACATTGTTTGCTGAAGTCTGTAGGTTTCCATTCTGCGCTCTATGTGTGTCAGTCACTTCAGACAGCCCAGCTATGGCAATTTAATGCAACATTCATCAGCCCAACTATGGATCCTTGTGCAGCAAACCTCCTTTTTTGTATGGGAGTGTTCATGAAATGGAGCTTTCTTAAGAAGTTTTAAGCTATTTTGATTTGAGGATTGAAAAATAAGTTTTCTCCYATTTCTGCCCTCACCCCTTGTCTGGCATGCACTGTCACTGATTCTTGTTTGGCCTGGTTTCCTAAGGAAGACYTGTGTTCATAGAGTGTGCACCCTTCCCACTTATTTTTGGTCATTTTCCCCTTTCTCACAAGAACTAACTTCTGAGCCCTTGGGCAAATCAGCTGCATTTGACAGGGATTTGAATTCTCTGCACTGTTGCGTTCCTGCAAATTTTGTGGGGAAAAGAGAAGACTGGGATAGGGAGTCTATGCTAGCTATGTCACAAGATTGCAGTCAAAGCTGCAGCATTATAGGTGSTAGCCTGGGGAAAAGCCTGCATCAGGCACCTGCTCTGATGCAGATAATCAATCTCAGGAGTCCTCTCAACAGAGGACAGGGGTTTGTGAGTGCWGCTCAAACCCACATACTAAGGACACATCTAAAGTCCAGAGATCCCTTCTGGCTTCAAAATAGGGATATGGCAAGCATTGCAAYCTGTGGAAAAAAATGTCTTTGTCTAGGAAGAAAGCCAAGAGGGGGAGGTTGCTTCTACAATATAGGGAATTGTTGCTTTTTATGCTCCTATTCCTGCTTTACACCAGCAAGCTGCTTCACAAATTTGAAGGATGGTTTTGCAAAGCACACAGAAAAGCTGTCGTTTCATTCCTTAGGCTCTTAACTGTRGGACAAGTTTCTACACAGGGCCACAAACTCAGGAAAGGTAGGAGGGCAAGTATATCTTTGTGGCTATGGAACCTGCTGCTCTCAGAAGCAGGCAGCCAGCACAGGTGGCTGGAGCAGCCAGACCATTGTCATGGCTCTTCATGGCTGGCAAAACCTTTTACTTTTGCCCCTTGTACTGGTGGCAAMTGGTGAGACAGTTGTTAACAACTTTGAGCAGAGCCGACAGTTTACTGATCTAGCYTCCCATAACCTCCAAAATGTCCATGAATACTGTTATCTCTACATTTTAATTAACATGGGCTACATGTAGAAGTGCCACTGCAAATTAGTAATATGCTGTTTCCAGCTGTTTTAAGGACTTGCTGGTAGTGGCTGTGGCATGCACCACAGAGTTCAGGGCTGCATGTTTTGTTTTCCGTTGTTACTTGGAAAGGATCATCTTGGCAACTTCTGTCCTACTTGCAAGAGTCAGTGTTGGTTATTGGGCAGGGTGGATGTGTATGTTTGCTGATTTAAAGTCCCTTGGGCAGCTGTCGTGCCAGCTCCCCCACTAGCTGTGCAGTTATGTGAACCTGGGACTGCTGGCAGTTCAGATTGGGAAAACAATCTCTCACCTGTGTAGTTTGCTCATGAACATTTTGGTACTGCTTAATTCACAGGTCAGCACATTCACTGCCATCTCACTGTCTGTGCACACGTTCCCCACTGACAGCAGGAGATGTCTGAACAGCCTCATCCCTCAACAGGGCCAGGTATGACCTGCCCAAGGTGTCTGTTAATGCTACAGAAGGGGCTCCCTGACACTGACCATTGAATAGAGATACATCCTGATCAGCAGATGTAAGCCTATAGTTTATTGACTTCTTTTTTATGCTCAGATCCTCTTGTGGCTTTGRGGCAAAAGGAATGAGGTAAAGCAGTACCTTCAGGAAAGCATAAAGAAAAATCTTCATCACTTGTGGGTTATGCTACCAGGAAGTGAAACTGTTTTAATGACCATGGCCGCTCTCATTGCTTCTTTTCACTTGTCTAAAGCAAGAACTGCTAGAAAATATTCCAGGYATCTTTCTCTGGAGCCTAAGAATATGAACCCATCTTGACATTTCTTTGTAGTTCAGCTCAGGAGTGTTTTTTAGCAATGGCTTTTCAACTAAACAAAAGKTTTGACATCTCTAGAACTCAATGCCAGGGTTTTGGTGATAGCAGACGGAGAAGAGGAACTACCACATGCAGGCAAAAAAGGTGAGGAAAATGTTCTTCACATATGGAGGGTGGGGAAGGAGACACGGTAAAGGTTTCCATGGCAACATTCCTTGAAGATAAGTATTTTTAAATCTGTGAATTTTAGCATCAAATACACAGTTGTGATTCCCACAAAAAGATTTAGGGGAGGGCTGGAGAGGAAAGAATTTTTGCCCCTACTTTTCAGGTCATTCTAGTTTCTTTTACAGAGGAGCCTGCTCCAAAGATAAATGAAGTATGCGTGATTACTGTGATCTTAATGCTCCTTTAAAGAAAGCCTTGCTTGCAGGAGGCAGGAAGCACCAGTCATAGTTCTATATCTGCTCCAACAGCTTTGGCGCATGCACTTGATCATATTTTTAATAGGAAAAGYAGTTGAAATAAATCAATGCTAGACCAGTTAAAAGTCACAAGGACAAATCTTGCAGGGTTTTAGATYAAAACTAGTGTAACTTAGCACAAAATCTAAATTTTAATTGATGTGCAGTTAACTGATAGTAGTCGTGATGTGGTAGCTGAGGCCTTTTGCCRTGATTGAAGAGGAGAGGATACAGAGCTGAAAAGGCAGAGAAACCAGCTAAAAGATGTCCCTGGTGAGTGTCTTGGTTACTTTGATGACAGTGAAATATCCCTGTAGATGGACAAGTGATGCTCCAGTGACACTATTATGCAGGAAATGTTTGCCCTTGATACTGGGTATCAGTGCTGGGGCCACCTCTCAACCTCCCTGAAGGTTCTTCTGTTCTTACCTCTCTGCTCCAGTCTGTGCACTGCAAAGCAATTCACAGGCACAGGCATGCTCTGCTCCCACCTCCCTGCTGGCATCCAGGCAGGTCAGCTCTGTCACGAGCCTGGCACGTCCAGTGCTGTGCCTGCTTGGCTGCCAGCTCTGAAGTCTCACCAAAAAAGGTTTGKKTTTTTTTTTTAACAGTTGCTTRCAATTCAGTGGTGACACAGGCACTGCAGCAAGGGTAAAGTGATCATCTTCCCCTTCAGAGCTTTACAGTAGAAGGCCCTGGGTATCCTCTCTGAAAGAGAGCTTGGTGAGCCCAGCCATTAAGCAGATTCAGTTCTTTGATTTAACTGATGGAACAAGATACTCCAGCAGTGCTCTGTACCTGCTGGCTCAGGGCCTGTGCTTCAGCAATAGACTAAATGATTCCTACAAGTATTTTGTGTTCAGAAGCCCTGGGGAAAGGAGTCTGGGAGGAAATAAATAGTCATATAGAAAACAAAAGGGACAATTCACCCATTAAGGCTCTTTTCCTGACCAAACTTCCCTAGGCCGTGAATCCAGGAAATGAACAAAAATCTATTGGAATAATAAGAGAAAAAAGTAAGTCACATTTGGCTGTTTATCTTTTAGGGTGAGGGAGGGGTTGCAAATAAGGGTGTCTATARTAGCCAAATTCATACTGTCAGAAGCGTGGAAATTGGCTATTGGCAGCATTGTTTCACACTGGCCAAGACCTGATACAGAATAAGCAAGGCTCAGATCTAGCTAAGATGACTTGTCAGCTTACCTACATCTTCACTGATAAAACCTACCAGCAGCATGGAAAAAAGCTGTACTTATGCCACTGTTGGATGCTCTATCAGATTCAGTGTTGTCAGGTATATTGTTACTAATTCTGTGAAYAATATGATACCCTGGAGTAATTTTCACATCAGTGAAAATGCATATTCTGGCTTTATAGTTTCATGGACTGAGAAGCAACTGACTTGCTCATATAGGGCTGATTACAGGCATCATGTTTATTCCATCGCTTCCTTAAAAGACCACAGTGGTAYTTTGTGCCACACTCCGCTGCTTCGCTCCATGTGCTTGCCTTGCAGCTGAGCTCCTGGAGAGGCAGGAGCTCTGCCACACCTAAATCACTCAAGTGCAGCAGTGTCAGTCCCTGCTCAGCAGCCATCGG